CTAGCTCTTATGATCTGGGTAATCATTCATTGTACTTTGTTGGTGAAGTTGGAGTCAGTACTACTTATGTTTTCATTTAATGGGGAAGCTGTAAAATGACAGTGAAGGAGTTATTGACTACATCTTATATGTTCGATTATATATATATATATATATATATATTTGCAGGTTCTGCGGCATTTAGCAGTACCTTGCAGAATAATCTAGTCTTCGAAAATAGTGGTCCAGTTGTTACCATATTAAAATACATGTTCAATTTTATAAATTCTCTGCCTTCAGAAAAGAGAAGAGTTGTTCTCATTTAACTTCTAGTATTCAGTATTTCTCTCAGTACCCATATCTAATGGTAAATTTGACCATTACCCCCTTTTTTCCACCGTATCACCGTAACATACGAGTATAAATAGGCAAAATATTCACACACACAAAAAAGTACAAATAGGCAAAATCTTGGGAGTACTATGGTCGGACAACGACGTCTTGCATGCTTGTAACGCGTAAACATTGAAATGTGATGGAAGGCGTCTATTTTCTGTAAAAACGATGTTAAAAAGATGTAATAACAAGAAAATCATAATTTGTCTTTGTATTATTATGTCGTACTTTTACAAGTCATTATTGTATAGCTTTTACACATAAAAAAATGCTTTTTCGAACTTAATTAATTGTCTTAGAGCATCTAATTTGTTAATTCGAGTTGAGTGAGAACTTTTTACTATAATAAAAAAATTAAATGTAATTGTTTTTAAAAACTTTTTTATTATAGTAAAACTTAAATTCTAAACTCGAATCGGTAAAATAAACGGGGCTTTAATAACTTCATCACCTTAGGAACCCTGCGACAATGAACACATATATAGGGTACTTCATCTCATACGGTAAGGTTTATAAAACAGTTAAAGCTGTTAGATCGAGTGTGTGTGTCTATATATATATCATGATAATCTCGTATTGTTATCAGTGTTACATAAAATTGTCACGTACTTTTAATAATACTTCTATTGTAATAAAGTTTTTTTTTCCTGTAGTTTTACCAAACCAGGTTGAACATGAATAAATCTCCATAATAAAGTTGATAAATTCGTTTTCATGTCATAATTATCATAATCTCATGTTATCATCAATGTCACAAAACAAACGTCATCTGTTATTGTAACTAGCTGGGCTACGTTATCGTAAGCGACGTTACATGTCAATCAATCATCAGCCATTAGCCGTCGGTAGGATTTGGAGTCGTGGATTTGTACTCAATTTGATTGAACGATTAAGGGGCTGTTCCGCGGTGGAGTTTTTGAGTTAAAAATTTAAAAAAAAAATAACTCGAGTTATAATTTTATTTAAGTTCATGTTCTTTTAAGTTTGAACTCGAGTTTGGGATTAAAACTCGAGTTCAAGTTTTTCCTTCAACTCGAGTTCATAAACTCGAACTCAAATTAATGAATAATATTTTTTATATTCTTAAAAATGCTATATAACTTTTTCGTTTTCATTATGACTGAGATGATTTTTTTTCTATGCGTTGAAAAAGACGAATAAAATTCCACCCATATACCCTAATAAGATTTTCCATCAGTATTGAATTTTTATTAAAATACTATCTAAATATAAATTCAAATTTTGACTCCCTCAAACACAAACTCAAAAAGATTCTTAGCTCAAACCATAACTCAAATATACACAACCAAACACAAACTCAAGTTACAACTTCAACTCAAGTTATAACTCAAAATCTACACTCAAATCACCTAATTCAAAAATGACAAAAGAATAAGCCCTAAGTGCCGTACTTTAGGAAGCTGACCAATTCCCGAGGAAACTTGGCAGATTTGGATCGGTTATAAAATGTATATAAAATGTGTGTATATATATATATATATATATATATGTGGGATGAAGTCCGCATGCATGGACCACATCCAATTCAATCTACACAAACAGATTACAGATGCATATATCAATTATTATATATGACGTTTGGGGTACGTACTTTTCAACGCGAGGCGAAGCCTTTGTCTTTTACTATCGATTTGAGTTTTATTACAGTAAAAAATTCTTAGTAACAGTTATATTTAATTTTTTTTATTACAATAAAAAATTCTCACATAAAATCACACATCTCAATTCGAATTAAAAACTCAAATTAACGAACTAAATGGACTCTAAATTAATAAACATAATTATTCCAAGCTTGTCACGGCCAATTTGGTTGGTTTAATTTGAGTAATTTAACCACCGCTGTATATGTCTCATCCTAATAATCTCTCTTAAAATTAAACAAAAGAACAATTAAAGATTTGACTGATCATGTTGTTTCTAATAAAAGAAAAAGATCTCTCGTACGCATTTAAGCATTTACCGCCCCCAAATCCCAATTAGCTTGGAAATGGCATAATATCGTCCTTAATTTCAATTAAGTTAGCAGCCACGAAACTGCAAACGGAAATTTTGATGATTTCTGTCCACAAATGAGCTGATCCTTTTGCTGGCATCGTACGCGAGATTGTTCTTTTCTCTTCTTTTTTTATTTATTTTTATTTTTATTTTTATTTTTGACGTCACTAGTACTATTGTCTCTCTATCTTCATTCATTAATGTGTGTGCTACCACTAGCTAGGTTGGTCTACCGATTTAAAAATAAGTCTCTTCTTCATCACTCATCATATAAAGGAAGATATTAGCCACTACAAACAGTAATATATACAACATGTATTATATTTTGGAATTAATTTTACCTTACTTGCATTGTTAATTTTTGGACATTTCCCTAGTCTTTTCAAATCACAACAAATACATTATAAATTAATTTATTTTGTATTAGGCAGATATAAGAGTTGAGTTTTTATTTTCTTTCCCCTTTCATGGAAAATTTAGCTATTTTCTAATAATAAAACCTTCTTTAGATATTAGCCCCTGACCGAAAAGTTTCTTCAAGAACCATATTTTTTTTATATTTATTTTTCTCTGAATAGATGCTAGTGATTTGCTATATAAGGTATTGAGTAGAGTATGTTTCTAATAGTTAGATTTGCTGAAAACCACATCAAAAATAAAAATAAATTGTGATAGAAACCTAATTATGGCTGAAAACAAAACGTTATCAGTATTATATTTTGACAGGTTCTACCATAAAAATCCTCACTGTATTATGATATAGAAAACGCAAAAGGGAAAGTGGAAAAGGCAAAGCATTTATATCCTCAACAACATTTGTGCACTTTGAAGCTGTCAGTGAATTATTAGTGGTTTGCAACCACAAGAAGAGGCCTTAAATGAAGCTCTGCCCAAACACACTTGTTGCCCAGTGAATCACTGACTGCAGACCCCTATCTTATCTTCTCTTGTTTAATATTCCGTACCACATTATTCCTACTGCCATAATAATTGGTATGTGAGGAGCCATTTTGGTATGCTCAATGTATTAAAAAAAAAAAAAAGATTCTTTGTATTCACATCGCTCAACTCATCGTTTTGGCAGGCTGCGTTTGCAAATATAACCAAACATTACACTTCTTGTTAATTATATATGTATATATATATATATATATATATGTTATAGTTGTTGTTAATTAATCTAAAAAGGTAAAACAAAAGCGAAGAAGATGTGCCTTTGTGGGACAAATTCGATTGTAGTCCACTATTCCAGCTATCTCTGATTTCAAATTCTTGTAGGGGCTAAAGAAAGGGGGCAGAATATAACAATCGGCTATCAACTTTCTATATACTTTCATAATGCCCTTTTTCCGTTTTTTATAAGCTTTAATAACGCCATTTGTTAAAGCAATATATATATTATCCTTCGTTCCTTCGATGAGAATAATAATAATAATAATAATAATAAGGATCATTTATACCCCTAAACGTTGAAATCATCACCCCCCTGAATTTTAAAAACTCATTTTGTCTTGTAAATTTTAAATTGTTCACACTTTATCCTTTAAGTAGAAATTTCCTTTAAAAACATATTTAATAAAATAAAATAAAAAAAAAACAGAGAGAACAATGCGTAACCACACTTAACCACTTTTTTCTCTAATTTTATTAGGAATTATTATAAAAGGACTTAAATGAGACTAATTTAAAATTTAACAGGTAAAATGAGAGATCAAAATTTAGCGGGAAAACTGGACCCTAATTAACAACGACAACAACTAGAAAGGAATTAAACTATTTTTTTCGATGTCCCCTCAAAAGAAAGATATCTCATGATTCTCATCTCAGTGCCCAGTGGCTTAAAATCCCCTGCTTTCCTGATCCGGTTCTAGTTGGTTTTAAAATGTTTTTATTTTCTGTATAAAAATAGAAATGAAAACGTTTTCATTTTTATTTTGAAATTATTTCTTAAATACGTTTAGTAGTTTTATTTAAAGATTAATTTCAGTTTAAAAAAAAACTGAAACTGCGTTTGGTAGTTTAATTTTTAAAAACATGTAATAATATTTAAAATAATAATATATTAAATAAATAATATTATTAAATATATTAAATAAATAATATTATTAAATAT